AAAAAGTTTTCCTAAAATCCTTTGGGGGACCAAAGGCGCCAAAAACCTTCCAAAAAAATTTTGAAAAACTAAGTGGTACAAAATGTTTCAAATAATCCCCTGACATGTTTCTGATAGAAAAAATGCAGTTCCATTGGGTGCGGGAAACCTACCTTATCCGCCCTCCTCCTTTGAGTCAAGTTTCAAGAAAATAGAAAATTAGAAATTTCTAGAAAGGCGGAAACTGACTTTATAAAAGACAGAAAATCGACAACAATCGTCGAGATCGATTTTCTATAAATTAGAAATTAATTCCACTTTACAGTGTAGACAATACTTTTCATGTTTCAATGTGCTTTTCTTCGCCTGAGAAGGGTGAATTATTATCAGACCGTACAAGGGACTGCACACACGCTCGACGGAGAATATGTATATCTTTAGACATCTTCATACATCACACACTGTCTTTTTTGGTTCTGTTTGTTTTACGAATACTGCCGATAGACTAGGAATGACCGACGGCTTTTTCTGTAGTTTAAAAGTTTAAAGTTGATTCTTTTTTCTAAAAAATGTGAAATTCTGTTTTCTTCAAACAACTGCACTCGAGTTTTTAGTTTCCTCTATTTGTGATAATTTGAGTGTTGAAATAAATATTCAAACAAAAAATCGCTTCGTTCTTTTCTTACGGTGCTTCACTCTATTCAGTTTCTTATTTTGTTATTTAAGCAAAGCAAGAAAGGATACTCAGCTAAATACAACTCCTGAATAAAAATATCACATATACTGACATTCTTTGATCTTTTTACGTTTCCTATAAAACTAAGTGTATTTAATATGATTGAAAAACATTTTTGTAAAATCATTTTATATAAAAAGCGAGCTTTTGATACTTCACAGTACCATCATCAGGCTATATGACTGTGAATTTAGAGGAGAGATGATTATAAGTTCTCCCCTGTTTCAACTAGTATATATAATCATCGCTCGTTAATGAACGTCGTTCTTATAAACTTTATTAAAGATAGAAAAAAACGTTAGTACATTGATGAAAAGAAGGGTGTAAGCCCATTGTATCTTTTACATCACTAACTCTAAGTGGAGAAAAAAAACGCTCTATATTTAACAACAGATCTGGAAAATATTCACATCCCTGTGAATTGACGCGCTAGGAGAAAACGTTCAAACATCAAACCACAAAATTCACTTCGTATTATTTTTGATATTACCGTTATCCCTGTATTATCATTATCAACTACTGACTGCTGTTGTGATTCTGATTTATTAGATACAAAGTATTGACACAAATTATGCAATTGAAACAAAAATTTGCAAGTATTTCTAGCAAAATAAACATACCAAAAACTACCTGCCGGAAGACTCCTATGCAAAAACGTCCACGCTGTATCGATTGACGGAGATCTTTTCTAAAATCTCCGCTGCCTTTTCCTCATCACATTGCTGATCCTCTGCAATAATTTTGATGAAGCACGTTTTCAACGACGCAGCAAGCTTCGTTCCACTTCCACAGGTATAGAAACGTGCATCTTCGTGATATAATTTCGCAATCTCTTTCCGATCTTCCCAAAGCAAATCTTGTACATATTTTTTGTCATCGCCTCGTTTCCGAGAAAAGGCAGGTTTCACTTGCACCGCACCAAGTTTCGACCACTTGTCCAACTCATTCAAGTATAAAAAGTCTTCATGTGATCGACACCCAAAGTAGAGGACCGCCGGTCCGACTTCTCTTCCGCACACAAGTTGTGCCGCTCGCTCCTGAATGAAACCACGGAACGGCGAAATCCCAGTTCCAGCCGCCAGCATCACCACTGGCACTTTTGTATCTGCGGGAAGATGAAAGCCCGCGTTACTTGCTCGGACACTACAGCTGATGCGATCGCCTTTTTTAAGTCCAGCTAGGTAATTTGATGCGACACCATAATATCGTCCATGTCCACTGAGTGCCGGGGCATCAAGTACGTCGATAGTAAGTACCACTGCTTCCGAATTCCATAGAGGCGAAGAAGAGATACTATACTGGCGAATGCGGAGTGACGGGAGCATACGAAGATACTGCGGAAATGAGAGTCCGCAAGACTGATACAGTTCGAGGATGTCAAGCGTGGAGAGACGTTTGTCGAGAATCTCTATCTGGTACGCATCACCACCGAGAGTTGCGAGTTGTGCTTGTTCCTGTTCGTCTTTGCACAGTGCGGCAAGTGTTTCGATTTGTTTTCTGCTGATCGGTTGAGTCAGTTCGACGTAGCCGCTTAGAATGTCGAATGCACTCACTGGATAGCCGGTAGGAAGAAAAGTATCCGTCGACGAAAGGATTTTGATCTGAGTATCGGTAGACAGGTTGAACCGTTTAAAAACTCGATGAACAATTTCGATCGGATTCGTTGGCAGTATGGCCAGATAATCTCCTGCTCGATAGGTTTGACCCTTGGGCAGCTCAATCTCGAGATACCGTTTCGCAGGTCCTAATTCATTTGCTTCGGCTAGCAGTTTGTTTTCTTTGACCATCCCGACATCTGTGATTTGTCCGAGATTCCTTGTTGAATTAACAATCTCGATGGAAAGTTTTTCGCTGCTGATAACACTTTGAACACCAGCCGCTTGTCGTAATACTTGGAAAAGATTCTCTTTCCAGGCTTCAAATGCTCCGTAAAAGTCACCAGCAGCATCGCCAGCGCCACGTTCGACAATTCTTCTGCCACCACCTTTTTCAATCATCTCATCGATATAAATCGGAATCTTTTGGTACGTGTTCACCCAGTCGTGATGGCCTGCTCCAAACACTGCGTAGTTGATATTGAGCTCTGGTTTCGATCCGAGGTATGCCACGAACTGTCTTGCATTGTCGCATGGTTTACCTTCGTATGTAGAAGTGACAATAATTACAGGTCGATCGCTCGGAAGAGATCCGAGTGTCGAGTCAAGAGTCGTAATAGTCGCATTGAATCCATGCTTAGGTGCTTCTGAGACTAAAATGCTGGCAAAGGATTCGCATGAACCAGAATTGCTGCCAAAGAGAACTGACATCGGTCTGAGATGGCTTGTGTCGGCTTCTTGGGACTGTGCTTTTGTAGGTACCGTTCCATCTTGTTTGACACTTGTGTTCAGCGAAATGCTAACATTTTTACGTGGTCGCACCCGCACTTTGAACCCTTCAGGTTTGATTGTTAATGTCTCTTTAACACGGAGATCATAGGTTGGATCAACAAATTCGATGTTGAAGTGTTTGAGAATGAGTGCGATGGCGAGTAGACTTTCTTGCATAGCAAAAGGTCGACCAATACAGCTACGTTGACCATTTCCGAAAGGTTTCCATGCGTTCGATGGCAGGCTTTCGAATCCTCCATTGAGCATTCGTTCGGGGAGAAATTCTTCTGGACGATCCCATACCTTCGGATCACGGTGTAGTTGAGACAACATAATTATAATTACGTCATTTTTGTCAATTTCGTAGCCGCCGGGAAGCGTAACTTTGCCTTCTTTTGACTGTACGGTAAAAATTGGTGCTGTAGGTTGTAATCGAAGTGTTTCTTTGAGCACCGCATCGATATACTTTAATTTGGACAAGGTATCAATTGTGATTTCGTCATATTGGTCAGCTTCTGCTTGCGCTTTTTGCAAAGCATATGGATTCTTGAGCAGATAATACAAGGCAAAGGAGAGCAGTCCGGATGTTGTTTCGTGTCCGGCAATCAGAAAAGTGACCATTTGATACCGAATATTTTCATCGGACAATTGATAGCCAGTCTCGGGATCTTTTCCATTAATCATTCGGTTGAGCAAATCATTTGTATTATTTGGATGTTCTCTTCTTTGCTTTACTATGTCATCACACAATTTGTGCATGTATGCAATGTCCTCGTAATACCGTCGTGCTGTACCCATCATGAGGGTGTTTTGTAACGGCAATCGTTGAACGCGCTTGTTACTTTCGATCAGGACATTGATCATGGCATCGACGAAATGATGCATTTTTTCTTGGTAAAAACTATTAAATCGGTAATCAAAGCTGCACAGTGCTATGGTATCTAGGGTCAGTCTGGTAAAGTTGTCGCAAACGTTAATTTCTTCTCCAGCAAAGCGTTTCCATCGAAGAAGCAGTTGCGAAGCAATATCCACCATTTCTGGAAACATATTTCGAATCGCATGAGCTCCAAAAGCAGGGATGAGAATCTTGTGAGCAAGTTTCCAATTTGGTTCTGATGTATGTGCAGTAACGAGCCCATCACCACCCAAGGCTCGCATTTCTTCCAAAACACCGTCAACCGCTTTATCGAATTTTGACTCGTCGCACACGAAATCGACCAGTTCGTGATTGGACACCACCACGACCTTTTTTCCAAGAATAGTCAGTCTGTAGATATCACCGTATAGTTTCTTGAGTCTTTCGAACGAACCCAAAACGAAGTTGGAATCCAGTTCATTGAGATTACCAATCCAGAATGTACCTGGTGGCTGAGGAATTAGCTTAATCATGACGCTTTTTCTTGTCGGTAAAATTGCGCCGTGAGGTGATAAGTCTCGATAGTGCGGAAAAGTTTAGCCTTGTACTAAATTGTAATAGCGTTCTTTTCGTCGGTTAACGTCTAAAATATAAGAAATGGTAGAAATGTAAAAAAGAACATGTAAGGAGTGGACGCATTAAAAGAGCCGGGGCCCATCCTCACGCTTCTGCTTAGCAAAATATGTTGAGTACATTGACTAATACTGATAATACTTCTCTGCTAACTCTCTTCTGTTCTGTAGTGTGCAGGCATATGAATTTTAACAAATAAATTAGATCTACGTATGACTTACTTCATAGTCGGTTGAAAGTTACTGCCAACAGTGAATTTCTTTATATATCTTACGTGTCGGAACATATTCTGTTTCTTTATATACTCACACTGTCGTTCTGTTAGCAAGGTCATTTGTGTGTTTTTCGTTCTTTCGAACACGTACGTGTATACAAGTGCGTATGATAGTACGATCTCGAGTTTCTCTTCCTTTTCTTTGTTCTTTTACTATGTCGTTTATGTTCTTTCAGTATGCTTCAGGTATAGTAAAGAAAATGACGAAAAATAAATATTTGAGTCGTGCAAATCATGCACTTGCATACACGTACGTGTTCGAAAGAACGAAAAACACACAAATGACCTTTCTAACAGAGCGATAGTGTGAGGACGATTGTTCGGAAATTACTGGAAAAGATGCCATTCCACTTCTTAAGGTAAGGCAGACAAGAGAACTTAAGACAAGACTGGGTTAAATAAGGTAAGGTAAGGTAGAGAAGTTTGTAAAATTTAAGGTATAGTGAGGCGGGGTAAAGGGAAGGTAGAGAAGTTAAGAGAAGTTATGATATACTAAGATATAGTAAGGTAAGGTACAGAAGAGAACTTAATATGAAATAACTTAAGATGCGGTAAGGTGTAGCAGCACTGAAATTAAGAGCAGTCCTGGGGTTCTCAGAGAAACCTCGTCCCTGGGTAATCATGAGACATATTACTCTATTTTCCGATCTGTAAACAATCACTTTTCTCTTTGAGTACATTCTCTTTCTATTCTATCTTTATTCAGTCTCATGTTAATTATCAGCTGTGAGAGAGGGATGTATTTACAGAGATATTTTCAGATGTACAGAGAGAGATGTTTACATATCTACATTAAAACAAAATAATAAATAGAAAGTCAATCAAAATAAGCTTTCAAAATGCGCACAACCGTTGACAAACCAATTGGTCCAGGATGAAGACCATCGATAGAGTCTGATAATGTGTAGCTCAACTTGAGTACACCACAGCCGCAAACGTTAGCCAGCAAACTATTGTATGCCAGAATTCTCTCGAGCGTATGATCATCATCTGGCGGAAATTTATGGTTACCGCGAAAATGCCTCGGCCCAATTTCACAAAATAAAATATCAATCATTGCGTTTACACCACGTAATAAAATAACTATCTCTTCGACAATGGCTATCATATTCATTGCCGATCGTTCAAGTAAATCATTGGTGCCAATTCGCAGCATTCTCTTCAGATCAGACAACTTGCGTCCGCCGATAGCGTCGATCTTCAGACGTCGGGACGACTTGCAACTAAACAGATCTCTGGCGCGCCACAATCGAGTCGTCTACCAGGAGAGCTGCAGGTGCGCTGCTGGGGGTGACTGGTTGGATGGTTGACGCAGCCTCAATCTGCAAGTTCCGTTGTTTCGTTGTCTGAGTCGATCGACTCATCGGTGCTGTCTGTATATGTTCAGTCGTGGAGATGCTGGCTGAATTTGGTACCACCTTCTCATTCAACACTAATCGCCCGATTCTGCTTGGCAGTTTTCGCGATAATCGTCGCCCTCTTCGCCTCCGTGCACGATGTTTGCTGCCTAATGTTTTTGGATCCATCAGTTTTAAACACGTTAATGGTTGAATTAAATTGTCACTCATGATCTCGATTATTTTAGATTTAGAGCTAAGATTCAATATGTTTATTTATTTTTACTCATCAACCAAAATTTCATCCGCGCAAATTGTGTCTTAGTCATAAAATTTCTTATCTATCCTATTTCTTAAAATAATTAAAATTTCAAATTATTTTATCTATCATAATGTTTAGACTGATCAAATTTAATCTTAACTTCATCGTTCAAAATGTAATAAGATTCGAGGACGAATCTCGCCGGGTCGGGACGTATTTGTAGCGGCCGTTCAACCACTTCTTACTATTTTTTGTCTTCTATGCATTCTTAATTTGGTTAAAAATAAGCTAGTCATAAGTTGCATAGAAACTCGAATTTAACAAGACACATTATCTTTGTGCCTCTTTTTTGGAGAATATAAAAAAAAAATATAGTTTAGTTTTAGAATTTTCCAAAAAAGAGGCACGAAGATAATGTGTCACATTAGATGAAGAGGTAACCTAAGCTCACGTCCATACATTAAGAATGCAGGCGTCTGACCTTCGATTCATTTATGGCTGCACGAATGGCTAATACTAACTGTGGCAATCTAATATCCCAGGATTGCTTATTTTCTTGTGCAAAAATGGCCAACGTTGGCTTTAATGTTCTATTAACACGCTCAGATAGGTTAGATTGCGGATGATAAAGAGCAGTTGTCCGATGGCGAATGCCTAGGATATTTAACGTTTCCCGAAAAATCTCTGTACAAAAAACATATTGAACATTTTTTAAACACTGTAGAAACAAAAGAATTTAGGTGAAAAATACTGCGAAGCTTCAATTTCCATTGTTTTCAAACCTGTTCCGCTGCCTCGAAGTGTCGTCCTTCTTCGTGTATCAGAGGTTGGCATTGAACGTATTTTTGTGATACAAAAGGCTATTGTACTACAGTCTACCAAAAAAAAAGAAAAATTTCCACGTTTTTTTGCCTTGTCACTGGAAAGAAAATAGAGCTATCAAACTTTCTCTGTTCTGAAGTAACAGAAGAAATATTTTGCTTGCTTTGAATTAAACCAAACCAGGCCTCAAAATACTTGATTGAAAATACTTCATTGAATAATGATGAAAAAAATAAAAAGTATGTCGGTAAAAGGCACTTCACAATGAACCTTCGCTATAGGGAAGGGTGCACTTTCGGGTTATCTCAACTTTGGTCGAAACTAAAAATGTCGAAAGAAAAAATAGCGAGAAGAATAATGTTCGGGAAAAATGATACAAATGTCGAAAGGTAAAAACATCGCAAGGTAAAAATGTCGAAGAATAAAAACGTCGAAAGATAAAAATGTCGATAGATAGTTTAGCATGGTTTTTTTAATTGAGTAGATACAAAGATAGGAGTTCAAATTGAATAAAATTTATTTATTAGAAAGAAGAACGAATGAAAGACAAGTAAAAAAGATCTCGTTAAATCAATTGATCAACGTCAATCATTTCTTTTTTGCCACAACGAAAGACAAACCAGTAAGAAGTTCAGATGCAGTAATTAAATAATCACTATATCGATTAAATAAAGTATCTATTCGACTTTGTAATGCCGTTGTACGTTTATTTTTTTTCGTTGATGCACCGGAGGACCATTGAAGACGTACGTTTTGTACGCGTTTCTCTTCTGCTTGCATGAAGGTGATCAGTTGCCAAATACTTGGATGATTTCGTTGAAGGCGAGAATTTATTAATAGCAGAAAAATTGACACCGCGTACATTTTATGTATCACACGTTTCGTACCTTATTTAGTACATCATCAGTCGAAAGACTTTTACAAATGATACATAGTATAGAATAAAAGTGAATTGAAAAAAATAAAGAACACAGAACAAGAAAACTTTTGCTGTATAGACTAGTCCAACAGCAAAAATTTTTATAAGAAAAATGTGTCTATTTTTCTCGATACATAAAATGTACGCGGTGTCAATTTTTCTGCTCTTCATTATTAGATGCTTTCACCGTACACGTTTCCACAACTGTAACTTTTAACTTTTTTCGATATTTTTAGTCTTCTACATATTTATCTTTCGATATATTTACCTTCGACATTTTTACGTTTCTCTATTTTTACTTTCGATATTTCTATCTTTCGACATTTTTATTTGGATATTTTGACTTTCGATATTTATGTTTCGATCAAAGTGTAGGGAATCTCTATCATACTGTTAGTAAACATCATCATGGACATATAAATAGAATGGTTATTGATCAACGAGTTTTGGCTCCTAATGAAGTGTATTTACTTGGTGTTTTATTCACAAGATATAATATTTTATTTGAATATTGCGACGAACGTGGTGATTTACAACTATTTCCATATGATTTAACAGATATAACACCTGTTATGTAAGTATTTCCAGTAATTTAAGCTGTGACAGTAAATATAGATAGTAATTGTTAATAGAAACTTTGACTCTGCCAACAAACAGATGTAGTTGATTTTTTTCACAATTGCAAATCATATTCAGGTAGAGAATGCGAAAAAGCAGTTATTTTGAACAAACATTTTGAATTAATAAAAATTACTTTGATATTTCGTGTAAATTTCAGACTAAAAGAACCCTTACTGAGGAAGCTATAAAGATTTTTCAGTAACTTATGTCTACCCTATAAAAAAAGATTAATATGGCAGGACCTGCTAACAAGCCTGCCATTCAATTGCAGCAGGCAAAATTCTCACGAGCAGACCTGTGCAGGTCTGTAGGGAACATCGTGGCAGACACTGTCCCATACAACTGCTGCATTCTCTGCAGAGGTATGTGACAGTATCTGTCACGATGTGACAGTATCTGTCACGATGTGACAGTGTCTGCCACGATGTTCCCTACAGACCTGCACAGGTCTGCTCGTGAGAATTTTGCCTGCTGCAATTGAATGGCAGGCTTGTTAGCAGGTTCTGTCATATTAATCTTTTTTTATAGGGTATTCATTTGTTCAGATTTTATATGTTTCACACTAAATAAATTCTTTTTTTTACAATTATCAATGCCAATACTTGCAGTAGCTAGTGTATGTTTTTGTTCTTGCTTCTTTTTCCGGGACTCGAGCGTCAAAAAAGGGAAGCAAGAACGAAAAAGGAAAAGTTTTTTTAGTAAAAGAAAGTTTGTTAATTGTATCAATAGTTGTGTCTAATTCAGAAAATTGTGCTTAATTTATATCAGCAAACTCTGTCTCAAAATGTTAGGACTTTTCGAAGTTATAATAATTTTTATTATGTCTGCAGCCATCTGATAATATTAGATGAAAAAATTCAATTTTCACCATCTGTAAGCAACTTATGCACAAACAAACATCATGTTGACATTTTCTCTAAACTAGTCTACTCAATCGTCCTAAACTTCTTTTATTGAGGGAGGAAATATATTTGCATTTTTATTTGGTGAAATTCTTTAAAAATTATTCAAGTTTACTAAAAGATTGACCATGTTCTTTCATACTCTTACTTGATTTGTGAATATTGATAATCGAGTATCAATAGTAATTTCATTTATATTCTTTTATTTACTCAAAAGAAAAAAAGGAACACAATTAAGATGTCAGACTAAAATCACAGCAATTTCATTTTGTAACACACTAGTATAATCGTAAACAAAATTTATTCATAAACATGCATCTAATAAACATTGTAAATTATTTTAAATAAGGAAAATTTTTCAACAACTTGATGAATACAACTCGAGATATATTTGTCAAATACTATTTAATTTTCATTAGAATATGTTAAGTTTTTCAAAGTTCATCTTAGTATTTAAAAGAAGAATTTTAATCGTTCATAATGACATATCCGTTATACTTTTCATTGTGAATGCACAATAGAGTATATTTTTAAAGTAAATGTTGTTTTAATTGTACAAAATGAAGTTATTATCGGCTTGTTTCTTTTTTAGACTTACATTATCAACAACAAATTCATGAAAAGCTTTCTAGTCTATACATATTATTGTTATTTTTTCTTGTTTAATAAATTGTACTTTTCCTTGTATAACCCGTACATATTTCTATAGACTATACTCATTCATTTTTTTTTGTCTTCATTAGATGCTCAATATGGTATCATTTTATTTGTTGTAGTTGTTTTGTTTCATTGTGTTTTTTATTCTCAGTGGAGACAAGAATCATAAAGCAATTTTCTATTGGCCTTTGAACTTAAAGAACATTTGCTTTGTTGCAAACTTTGGATTTAGATCTGGCGTCATTCTCTTTTTCGGTGAAGTCTTTTTATTATATGAGTGATTTATAATATAAAACTGTTAATTTAACCCTTTACACCCGAAGACACTTTTATTATAGCTGCCGATGAAATGACTACTGCATTGAACCTTACAGTTCTTCGGTACATCCTTGTTATATCGAGGCTTAAGTGGTGTTGCTTTGCCGCGTGGATACATGATGTCCCTTGGAAGGGACATTCGGGTGTAACGGCATGGATTCTGTATTTTTTTCATTGTTATTCCGAACTTCCTTTTTTACTCTAGTATATTACTATGAGTTTCTTTTCAATTCTTTACTCACTGAAAAATGTTTCCATAGAAACAAACGTTCAGACGCATTTTTCTTT